TTATTGTAAAGGGTCGCCTAGTTCCGAGCCGTTGGATCGAATGAATCCAACTGCTGTGATGAAAGAAAGTAGAAACAAGGTCGTTTTGGGGTGTGGGGAGTTGGACCGGGTATAGAAGGGTTTTGGGCTTGGGTTTGGGGCGGATTTAAGTGTAACAGCTTGGCCCAATTTCAAATTAGTACTCTTTTCCAATTTCTTTTCTTATTTTCCCCTCTCTTTTTTTTCTTTTCTTTAATTAAAATCCTAAATCAAATTTCTAAATTAATCTAATTTGTAAAATTAAACTAGTTATCTATTATAATATTTACAAAAATTAGTTGATCCTAAATTAAAGAAGAGAAAATTACTAATTTAGCATTAAAGGCTAAAAATGTAACTGAATGATATTTTTTGTGATTTTTATTTTAATAAAGCAATTAATTAACTAATTAATCCTAAAAATATGAAAACAAAAACCTAAATGCAATGCATGGTATTTTATTTATTTTTTTGACATTTATTTTCATGATTTTTTATAAAAATTAAACGTGCACAAAAATGCAAACAATTAATACAATCCTACAAAAAATCCTATAAAATGGCAAACAATTGGGAAAAAATCTATTTCTTTGATTTTGTAGGAATATTTTGAATAGGGCAAAAATCACATGCTCACAACTGAAAATAAACTTTCAAAAATTGACATTTTAATAGTGAGTCGATTAAGAAAATAAATTAAATTTGAATTACCAGCAGTGATTTGGCATTTTGTCCCATTATATTTACTATATTCATATGTCAAAATGAGTGTTGGAGAGGGAGTACATTGTGGTGGATGGGGAAGGAGGCATGAGATTTGAAAAATAATTACAAGTTCATACAAGGGCTGTGGGGTGTATTTACCGTCTGTCATCGAGGTACAAATTTTCAGTATAATTGCATACTTAAATATGTACTTTTGTCTGTTTCATTGTTTATCCGGAAAAATTAATTGTAATGTAAATTAAGTAANAATTACCGATAACGATATAAAATTTTGTCCAGTATTTACTATATTCACATGTCAAAATGAATATTGGGGTACACTGCAATGGATGGAGTGTCTCGAATGGAGAAAAATGCATGAGATCTGAAAAATAATTACAAGTCCATACAAGGACTGTGGGGTGTATTTACAGGCTGTCATCAAGGTACAAATTTTCAGTATTTGACATTTTATCTAACAGTTTTGTTTTCTAGTCATGAGTTGAGGTATATTTACTTCACGTGCCTAAATTGGCTCTGATCGGTGAAGAGCACCAGAACGTAAATTTGAACAAATTAAAAAAATCCGACTTATGCGATTTGAATTTGAGACATTTTGGTCTTGACACCCCTATCTTGACTCTTAGGTTAAGGCATTAGCATATAATTTTGTACAAATATATAAATTTCGATCTTTTTTATTTATGAAGAATAGTGGTTTTGATCGTGAAGTTATTTCTCTATATCATTTGACTCTTGTAATAGTCAACAAAGTATATTTGACCCTTCAATTAAAGGAAGTTGCTAATTTTGATCTAATCATTAACATAAGTACAAAAGACAAAAACAAATTGTTTAGTTATTGCTAGAGAATAACATGTGTAGTAACTGATTTCTCTTTTGAGCCTTTTTAGTGATTAGTTGGATCAATATCATCAACTTTGTCTAAGTCAAGGTTGAACGTTTTAATTCGAATATGATAGAAACAGAATCAGAATACTATAACAATAACTCAATGACTAAAACTATCATTCTAAGAGCAATTAGTAAGAGTTAATTCGCCAATATATATAATTCTAATCTGTCAACTTATAGCTCATTTTATTAGGATTGAATTTAGTTTAAATATACCAAATTTTGTTCAAACCAAAAATCCCACAATGTGATTTTCACATGCTATAGGACACATCCAATTAACCAAATGTGTACAATATTTGTGATCAAAGAAAAAATAAATATGCATTTCTCTTATACTCTTTGAGCGAATAGAGTGAGGATCCATATAACCACACGATATATGTTGAAAGATTAGAGAGCAATAAAAGAGGAAAGGAAACTTAAAACTTTTCTTTGCTCGATACAGTAGCAACCTTTCTCGAAAAAACTTGCGTTTTTTGGTCCTTAATCTCGAGCACTAATTACAAATTTGTTAGTAAATTTTCTAGCTATACGAGAAAATATGTCAACATCTGATTGAATTTTATTTTTTTGTTCGTGTAATTAATTTATTTTGATAAAATAAATCTTGGTCTTTTTCATATCAACTAAACTTATAAAATGAGTTGTTCGGAAGAACGTCTCTTGAGTTAATCTAACCAAATTTTGAGTTAATCTCGAGGAAGAACGTCTCTTGATTACCTCCGCTTTGAGAAAGGCAATATTTGAAGTATTGATATATTTGTGAATATCCCCAACAGTTTATGAGATTTTTCGGAATAGGCATCCTCTATTCGTGTGGCTAAATTGCAGCATAATTGCTTTCAATATATAGCAAATTGATTTTGTTTAAATTGTCTCTCATTGGTTTTTTAAGCAAATTATTTTATACTACAAAAGTTAAGGACGAAAAAAAAAGACTCATATGGCTATCTTAGGAATGATCTAGCATCAGTCGAACAAAATAATTCAATATTTCACCACTATCATAGATACTGATCGCCAGATATTTGCAATATCACAGATATTGATTGCAAGATGATTGCAAATATTAAAAAGTGAATAGGCAACACTATTATTTTTGAGCAAATGGAGCCTACTTAAATTATTTGGTCACCAATAATATATGTGCCAAAGAAACTGGTTGGGCCTTCTCTTATTTGTTTATTAGATGGTGTGTGCCCGTGCTATGCACAGGCGTATGCTCGACATTATTAAGAAATTTCAAAAGTATAATAGCTCTTAAACTTGTAAAGCTGGTTTTATAAGCAAAAGATATTAGAATGCATAGCACTCACCCAAAAAGTACTCAAATACAACTCCCTTTTCCCCTACAAGAATTACCGTAGATGCTTACATACACTGGTACACTCGTTCATATTGTTCATTTCTCATATAATTTGGTTGAAGCAAAAACGGAACATTTCTTTTATCATCAAATAGTGCTAGTATAGTACCCTTTTTCCTTAGTTTGCTATAGCCGTGTGTCTGTTCTATTACTACTTACCTTCGGTAATTACGTAGTTTGCTAGCAGGACTTCGTCATATTCTCGTGTGCTACCTTCAGAGGCGAATTCAGGATTTGAGGCTTATGGGTTCCTACCGTAATTTTAGATTAATGTGTAATAATAACTGGGTTCACAATTAGATATTTACAAATATTTAGTGATTTTCTTAATATAAATACATGGTCTACTCAAAAGTTACTGGGTTCCCGGGAACCCATATACTACACTCTAGGTCCGCCCCTGGCTACCTTGGACTTATTTGTCTAAATATACTATCTTGCTATTACTTGTTATCGGTAATCCTTCCATATTCTTTGTTTTTTTCTCTGATTTAGTGTTCTAACTATTTGTCTTGCTATCACTTGCTATCAGGGCCTCCTTCACCTTCTTTAGCCGAGGGTCATTCGGAAACAGTCTCCCTATCCTTCCAGGGTAGGGGTAAGGCTGCGTACATCCTACCCTCCCCAGACCCCACTTGGTGGAATTATACTGAGTAGTTGTTGTTGTTTTATCATCAAACTTGCTCCACTACTTAGCTAAAACAAGGAAAAAAGTTAGTCTTAGTTCTAGGAATCATAATGCCATAAGTAATTTCCAGTTTTTAGCCTGGGAAGCTTGATGCAAGTCCCATGAGGCCTACTTTATGCTCTCTTGCATGCAGGGACGCAGAAAATGCTTATGACCTTCCGATAAGTGATAGGCTCTTTCTGCAAAGTGATAGGCTCTATTGCAGGAATATCAATTTTGTTGTTGGCGTCATCTCCTAAGGCGTAGGGAAGGTTTTCCTAATAAAGATTTTGTCAGACGCTTTAATATCAGAAACACTAATCCTTAATACTACAAACAAATTTAGAAAGAGAGCTGGATTATATCATACATCATAGGATGGGTTAGTGTACTTCACTCTGCTGGTGCGGCATATCTACAAAGTACCAATTATATTCAGTTCAGTTACACAAGTTTATGTAGAGTTTAATGTTCTTTTGCAATATGACTAAAAGGAGGTGTATGAGCTATATAATTCAAAAATAGAATATAGCAGATAAATTCCTTGCTCATACTTGAAAGTAAATGGCTATAAGCCAAAGAAATTACTACTGCCTATAGGATTGACTATGCATATTTACATCCATTTTGAATCTTAGACGTAATAGCACCTGACCATCTTTCATTGTCGTCAATCAAAATGGCTTTTCATTACGCTTTTGTATATGGGTAACCAAGGACTTGTATGTTTGGCAGATTGATATGCTATACTATTTATTTATTTTTTGGACTTCTCCACTATCTGCATTAACCTCCATCATGTCCAAATCAACAAAAATATGTATACCAGTCGCTTACCTTATTTGCGCAAGTTTATATTGTTCTGCACTCTTCACTCCAATAAAAACCTAATTTTAGCAGATGTAACATAGGATCAGCCAGCAAAAAAGTAGTACATCTGTGAAAGAGTGAAAGAATGTTTGAACCATAACCCAAAAAGAAATAAAAAGAACTTACGACATCTTATTTTTCAGTTACTAAAAGTTAGGTACCCGATTACTCTCTGTTAGCCACGACTTCTAACAACACATGCTAAAATCTTTAACTCTTCTTATCTTCCACAGACATTACCATAGCAGCTTTGTACCCTTTAGAAATATATGCAGATTGAAAAATAAAGAGTCATACTACTTTTCGCAACCTGTTTGAACGTGTATGCCAGTTGTTTAGCATATTGATCAAATATATATATATATATATATATATATATATATATATATATATATATATATATATGCAACTTTTGTCTAGTAAGCATAATTTGCTGAATTTCTACGAATAACAATATCCGTTTCAAACTGTTTTAGATAGTAATTACTATCCCACTCCAATTAGTTACAAGTTCATACAGAACAATCATACATTAATCTGTTCCGGTGTAAATACAATGAACAAAAGATAATTATCAATTCAACTGGGTATTCTATATAGAACTCAACTCATAAACAAAACGAAGACGCTTGAAAGGAGTTCAACTTTTCCTGCAACATTGCCTTTATCATTTCACCTCCCAATCTGATTATTCATAATATAGTCATTTAACAGTAATGGAGGGTGAGTATATTGGGGCTACTGAGAACCAAGTGGTATAACTTATATCTTCTGCTCCAATCAAATGGCATGGAAGATATAATTATGCTAAATTACCTCAAAAGAATGTCCTCATGTGTAAAGTTGGCATATATCATATACAATTTTGTCTTGTCCTTGTGGGTTTGAAGAATATACCTCTAGCAGCCTGGACAGAAACAGAAATGAATTATGACATATATCAGACTCAAACCTTCAGCTCTAACAGATTATAACATATATTTCTTTATCACTCATTTATAACACAAGTGAAAGAAAATAATTCATTCCTAAAACGTAGAGAGAAACCATATTTCACCTAGTCAGTTCAAATTCTACAACAAATTAAGAAATATCGGAGTTCCCGTTTATATAAAATATCGGCCGACAAGACATCATATGTACATAGAATTAAAACATTGAAAACTAAGAGTTAGGTGTAGAGATTAACATTTAAAAAAGTTAAAACTTGGTTTATCTCGTTCGTATTTGCTTAAATGTTCTTGCTTTAGCATTCTTTCTCTTCTTTCCATTCTTATGTGTCTGCTCTTACAGCTCCTTAATCTTTCCTCCGCTCTCACCCTTAGCTTCAAATAAAGAACATATAAATAAAATAATCACTATAAAACTGAAAGATATTTTTCGATGGCCTACCAAAAGCAACAATCATTAATACCAGTTCTTTTGGCAGAAGAATCTGGTATAAGAATGACATTCTACTATTGGAAAAACCAATACTTTTGGCGGTGTGCATGACTAACATTTATACCTTCGAGCAACTATTAGTGTTGTGTAAAACTTCTTCTGAAGGCATCGGTTTACGAAGTAGAAGGATCAGAGTCATCCGCAACAAACGAAACAAGATAATAGCGAATGAAACAGCATACAATAATTATATGTGACATTCATAGACAGGATAGAAGAACAACTGAAATCAATCACAATCTCTGAACAACATCAGAGTTACATATTTTCCAGTATAGTTATCAAGATTCGGATTGGTTTGTGCACCATCAGCACACGCAAAATTATCTAATACTTTCTGCTAAGAATATTCATCTAAGTTTGTGAAATTATTACCTCCTAAATGAGCATATGAACACCAAGACAATGCAAGTTAAGGTTTACTCTATACTGTCAAATGTGGAAGAAGAAGAAGAAGCATATAAATAAAGTACGTGCACTAAGTATAAGCAAACAAATAAATAATCCTTATTTACAGCAATTGGGGTAAGTTTATCCCAATTCAGAAATAATATACAACTCTCTCTCTTATTTATGACATTCAAGATGGTGGCATTGTCACTGATGAAGCGACTAGTCCTAGAGGTAGAACCTCACTGACCTAAGCGATTTGATCAACAATTATCTTTGTAGTTGGTCACTATGTGTATTTTGAAGTCTAAAATCCCTTACAATTATGTCTGTTAGTTATTTGAGTTAATATTTCACATAGGACTAAACTAAATCATGCAAAGAATATCTTCATAAAACACCAATGTCCCAAGAAATATCTAGCATAAGAGAAAAGCAGAAATAAAGACACCAAACGACGTTTTAATCCATGCACATTTTGTAGTCCAAAGTATATACGTTTTTTCAAAATGATCGAAGATGAATTTCTTTAGCATTATACCATGTAACTTTCCAACTCGGATGAACATCAGCTATAAATGATAAACATCTAGCATAAGAGAAAAGCAGGAATAAAGACACCAAACGACGTTATAATCCATGCGCATTTTGTAGTCCAAAGTATATACGTTTTTTCAAAATGATCGAAGATGAAATTATTTAGCATTATACCATCTAACTTTCCAACTCGGATGAACATCAGCTACGTACCTATATATGATTGAGATCTAAAACGAACAAAAAGTACAATAAATAACTAAGCACTTCAATTGTCAGGAAACCAAAAATTAGTACATAATTTTGCCAATAAAGATGACAACAGAAATGAATTGAAAAGCTTCATGGATCAAGAACAGAACATTTTGCAGGAAAGCCGAACTTCAGTTGACATAAGGGGACATTGTACTTCACTGGTACCTTTGTCAACTACTTAAATATCATTGACCATGTCCTTAAAACTGAATTGCAAGAATTGAATTGTAAAGGAAGAGTAATCGGCTAAATATAAATTACCTTTTGTATCATCAACTAAATAGTGATTCAGTCATAAAGGTGGTCTTCTTCAACTCGCAAAATTCACAGACAGCGTAAAATCCAAAAATAGCCAAGTTTTGACAATTACCCACATGCAATTCAAAATCATACCCATGGCAGCTTTGCACAGGTTTATACTAAAAAAAATTGACACCAACTATTAAAAAAAAAAAGACATACATGTGGAAAATAAATTAAAAAACACCTTAAAAACAAAGAGGTCGACAGTTGCACATACATCAGGGGCAGACCCAAGTGGTGAGAAGTGGGTTCAACTGAACCCGCTTCGTCAAAAGATAATACTGTGTATATGTATAAATTATGGCTAAAGCAAGGTAAATTTTGTATAGAAATTATTTTTGAACCCGCTTATACAGTTTATACCGCTTATGTTAGTTATGGACTTCTCCGACTCAACCCGCTCGCACAAAATCCTGGTCCGCCACTTTGCACATATATTCACGACGGACAACTTCTCACAAAGATAAACCCGCAATCAGTTCAAAATCGACATACCAACAATCTCTCAAGTCCCACTACCACCAAAATATGAAATAATCAAACACATACTAAGCATCGCTAAGTTAAACCCACCTGAGAATAACCCATCAAGGTTCTCACAGAAGAGCTAAACGAGAAGCAGAAGATGATTGCACAAACGGGATACACGTGTTGAAACTTAACTACCCACAAAGGGCATAAAGGAGAAATCAATTGATCCAAATTTTATCCAGAATGCCCTTCGTCGTCCGTGCAAGCTTCACTTATTATATAGTTAAAAAAATATGATTACTGTACGTCTCTCATCGGTCCTAGAGGAGTGCGTGAATCATGTTGAAGCTTGACATTAACTTATTACGTGCAATATGATTTTAAAATAGCTTAACCTGTCTATATAAGCTCATAATATGCTTCAAGCAAAGATCAATAACAATAGCTTAAGAATCATACATATTCATAGTGAAGTGGCCATGAAATCGCCCGTTGCTCTTATCCTGCTCTTTTCACTTGCCCTGGTAAGTTTTCACAGATGATTAATATATTTTAGGCCTCCTTTTTGGTGGTTTATTATTAATTACTTTCTTGGTGCACTATCTTGCACTTCTTTCTGCCTTTGCTTTCCAATTACAATATCTTTTCATATCAGATTTTAACAATAGAATTATCTAACTTATACTGTTTCTCTTTTAATTTATGTGAACGTATTTGACTAAGTACATTGAGTATAAGATTGTTAAAATATGTGGTCTTAAACTTGTGATACCATTCGTGTTGTTCAGGGTCGGCTCTTACCTTATCACAAGTAAAGCTAGTGTCTTAGGCCCCAAAATTTGAGAGGCCCAATATTTGCGCATATCAATATACCAAATATTTGCGCACATAAATATACTAGTATTTGATCACGTGCATTACATGTGTATCGCATATTAATATTTGCATAATGTATATTTATAGTTACATAAATTTATGTATATATATTCTAAATATATTCGATTGAACTTTTAATTTGAATTTAAATTATAAAAAAACAGCATTATTGCATATCCTTAATGCTACCTCTGATGAATGAAGTCATCGTACTATGTTACATTTTTCTGTCGTTATCCTATAAATTAAAATTTTTCTTTCTAAACTACGTAAGCCTTATTTTTTTTTTAATTTCATGTACATGTCAGCCAAAAATATTGTGATGTTTTATGTTTATGTCAACAAAAAGTGTCGTAATAATCACTACCACAAAGCGTAATTACCTTTCTTGTTTAAGGGCAAATATTAAAATATTTTATAAAACAATAATAAATTTCAGTATAAATATTTTAAAAATATTTGTTTGGAGTTTACAATTTGTTCAAGGGACGGAAATAACTAAAAGAACTATGCCCTTTCATTTTCCGATGTCAACCTTTGTACATGAGACCATGAACATCTACATTTTTTAGCAATTTCTATTCACTTTTTCTTTCCAAATCTATCCCCTCCGTTCACATTTACTTTGCATGTATATTAAAAATAAATTTTCATTTTTATTTGTCACTTTACGCATATCAAGAGAATGACAATTTTTTTCCTATTATACACACAATATTTATTACTCATTTCAAATCATTTTCTCAAATTCAATAAAATATGCATCAATTAATATGAGTATCATGATAAATTATGCACTTCATTTATTATTTCTTAAGGGATTTGAAAAGTCAAAACGTACCAAATAAAAGTGAACGGAGGGAGTACTATCTTATCAAACCAGACAACATAGTATTTTTAACCATAATGTGCACTGCAATATATACTAAGATCATGATTTGTAGTACTTGATATAAGTCAAACTTCACAAGTGTAGAAAATAAAAGATTAAGTTTAGAAAATAAAACCTGATTTTATCGCGACTTTCTTCTTGATATAAACGCGAAGAAGAGAAATCAAAAGTAAAATCATCAAAATGATAGCTTTCTATATTCTTTGCCAACAGTGGACGTGTTTCTCGTCTCCACGCTCTTGCTATGAAGGTTAACGTTCAAAGAATTCAGCGAAGATGTTTGTTGACTATTCTTCAACTTTCGCTCGCAGTTTGTTGTAAACATTTAGGCTTTGAATTCACTGGATAAAGCAGAATATATACTTTTTTTTCCCATAGAGAAAAAGACTCTAATAGGAGAAGAAATATATTTACATGTTCCGATGGTATTGAGCAAAATAAAACAAATGAAAAGAGACAATAGATTTCTATGGGGCAAAAAAAGGAAATTTCGAAAAGAGAAACGTGTTAAAGTTGTACGACATTTTGATGTATGCAACAGAAGATATGAATTGCCGGTGGACTATTAGCCTACATTGAATCTGCAATGACTATTGGCAGGCTATACTATCCTCCCCATTTATTAAGCAAAATATGCACACTAACAGCATGCAATAACTGTTGGCAGACGAAGCATTCCTTCCCATTTACTCGGTTCAGTGTACTTGAAATTATCTTTAATAGAAGGCGTTTTT